CGAGCTTCACAAGAATTTGTTCTTCAATATCTGTAGGTATGTGTGTTGAGTGTTGTCTTTTTTGGTGTGATGATGTCGATTGTAAGTTTGGATTGATCTCATCAACTTCCATATCATCATGTAATAGTTCTGAAGATTGAAATTCTTCTATTATTGTTTGATTAGTTTTCACTTTTACTAACTTTTTATCTTTTATTTTCATAGGTATTAGAATCGCCTGCGCAGAAGCATTTTTGTTCATTTTTTCGATTCTTAATTCATAGCAAGTAAACATTCGTCAGTATCTATCTTCAGTTAGTTGCGTAGTTTCTGTGAATAATATGCTATTTTCTGGGTGTTGGCTATTAAATGCCAACTTAAGTTTATTAATTAAATTCCAAAAAGCTTTTAGACGACTTTTGATGAACCGTGGATATTTACTTACTGTTGGATCATTGGTAAATTCTGAAATTAACAAATTAAGTTGGTCATATTCGGATTGTGCTACTTTGATGTTTAGCTCTAGATTTGCTAAATTTGTTGCACAACCAGTCATATTTTTTTTTAGGAACTTTATCCTGAATGTTTCGAGTACTTCGTCAAGAGCTAAATAATGCCCTTCCTGCGTCAAATTAATTGAAGGCACTGTTCGAAGGTTTGTAGAAATTGTGGATTATTTTGCAGATTTGATATAAATCACATCACAGATTTTGCATATCTATATTTCTTTGTGATATGAAATAAAGGTGCAAACGCCATCAAACTATGTATCTGTAGATCGAAGTTTCCTGTTTGAATACCAAGCTTGTGCAATTTCAGGTATCCTGCCTATCGATAAAAATTATACCAAACTTTTAAAAGATTATTATTTGTTTTAGGGATATCGTCAATGGAAATACCTTTCTCATTAACATGTTGATGGATTGTGACTTCTACAGCTGTCCAAAGAAGCTCGAGTACCTGAAATGTCACCCGATAGTTAGCAACCTGTTCAAATTTGTCAAGAAACTTAACACCAAGCTGTGTAGCAAGCCCAAAAAGTCTATAACCCAAAAAGGCAGAGATTAATGCATTGCACATTGCCTTGTTTGTATGCCATTGTCTCAGGATACAATATACGGTTTGTTCATTACTTTTATAATTTTTCATGTGATGATAAATTGCTTCGTCACATACCAAATTTAATACTCCATTTTTTGTATAGCCAAAATCTTCTAGAAACATATCAGTGGCTTTGTGAATATGATCATCTTTGCTTGGAGCTTCTCTCAGTTCAAGAATTACAATATTTGGAGAAGCTATAAACATTGTTGAATCGATATTGCTTCTAAGAGCTTCGTCAATTTGTTTATTATCGAAAGTCAACCCTTCATTGAGTAGTTGGTTAAAAACTAAATTTACTTTTGTTTGCTATTATTCCATAATTGAACTAATGCCCAAAAGAGGATAATTTTCTATATTTTCTATTAGATCGTCATCCAAATCGGCAAGCTTTGGAGGATACTGGAATTAAAAGACTATCTGTACTGTTGCATATGCAATATTGCATACAATGTCAAAGATATTACCAAATTGGAAGGCTATATTTTTCATGTCGATATTGTCTATAGCTGCGACGTTTAAAACATTTGGATTTAGATTTAATTTTTGCTGAGGATCTGTAGCAAATATTCTCTTTTTTTGGGTGCGAACTTCGTGATCTTTAACATATGCTACTGCTCGAACTGTATGAAAAATTTTATACAAAACTCCTATTATTTTTGGTCATCGGCAAAGAGAAGAAAGAATATGGGTAAACCATATTTTCCAACAGGGAAAAGCAATGGTAAGTACTATAGATGAAAAAAAAGAAGAAATTAGTTCAATTTTTCTTCTTTTTAACTGTGGAGGAGGCATATTTCTTTCTTTTTTTTTTTCTAGCTAATATTTGTAATTTTTTTTCTTTTATAGTTAGAATTAAGCTATAAAAAAAGTTAACAAGAGATGACGGCATGGCTAAATAGTATTTATCTAAGGATTTGGGCTCTTCAAGTGATGGTAATTTTTTCTTAAGTTCAGATCGTTCTTGTAATATAGAAGAAGCAAGCATACTTCCTAGGGTATGATATATAGCAGTTTTTAATAATAGTTCTTGTTCTTCACTAACTTTGATTCTTTTAACAGCAAACGCTGTTTTTATTAAAAAACAACTTGGAATTTTAGGTATTGTAGAAGACGCACTGATGGCATCTTTCATTCCGGGTTTATCTGTAGTGATATTATCAAACAGTTCAATAAGTTTCTTTAATATACTAATTTTTATAGGTTCATCTTCAGATTCGGCAATTTGCTCAATCCACTTGGCCAAAAATTTTAAAGCAGACTTGGTATCATCCTTGTGCTGGTTTCGTTCCATACATGAAACAAAACTAGATCCTTTTTTCGGTCAGATTTGTAAGTGGCCACCATTTTTTACAAAGCAGCTTGTACAAATGAAACGAGGTTTATCATTAGTAAGCGATTTTTCTGATAGATTCTCATATTCAGTTATTGCTAAACATTTGTACAATCCGAGGCATGGTGCTTGAATTGTTCGTTCACACACTTTCCATGTATGCAATGTACATGTTTTGCCTCTTGTAAAAAAATATTTTAATTTATTACAAAATAGGCAGCAACGTAAGCTTATTACGCTTTCTTCGGTGAACTATACTTTTGATCCAAATTCATGTACAGTTTTTTGATCATGGTTTAGGTGGCGCAAACAAATTTTTAACGCTGAAATATCACCCTCAACTTCTTGCATGGCTTGAGAATCGATTTCTCATGCTCCAGATAGTTGCCTTAAATAACGGTCGCCCGGTTGGGTATATCTTTGGATTACATTCTGATTATTGTCATTATCAATAATGATACAACTTGTTAAATTAATATTATGATTCGGAATAAGAGGCATTTGTTTTTCAAATTCTTCAAATATTTCTGTTTTATTATCATCTTGAGGGACTTCATCATCACTTTCAAATAGGTCATCATCTGATTCATTGATCGATTGGGCTGTGATTTCTTGCAATTTTTTTAATGAATGATGATCAAATGTAAGTGTATTATCATATGTCTCATGTTCAACATTTGTATCAAATTCTTGACTAAACTCATCAAAAACCTCATCATATTCAGATGAAACGCTATACAACAATTCTTCTATTATTTTTTATTTGTTTATCTTTTTTTATTTTTTATTTAATTATATTAATAATTTGTGATTTTTTTGTAGCTTGAAAGATGAATATACAGGAAGTATTTATAATAATTTGCCTCGGGTTTGTTCAGTTTATCAAGACATACTTGAATAACTTTTAGAATCGAAAAACTGACTAATTCGGCTGAGGCAACTTCCGAAAATCTGGGGCATGTGATTTGCAAGTTGCAGCACACTTAATTATGTACCCTTACCAATAGTTTTCCCTTTGCTAAAGCAACAATTAATACATAATAATTGATGCTGTGCCTGTGATGCAAACTTTAGATCGCCCTGGATGTCTCAATTTGGCCGAATCAATAGTGGAAATGCGTTAATGATTGAATTATAAGGTTAACTCAAATGTAAAAGATTTTTTTTGTATTACTCAAATATCAGTCAAAATTACAAACACAAATAAAAAAAAACTTTATTTATTTTAACTTTTAAGTTCAAATTTAATAAAACAATTAAAAGCTTGAAACTTGTTTTAATT